TAATAATACGATTAAAAGTGTCTTTACTTTTTCCTTATGATTCATCCGCACTCAATCTCTGCTCTCATTATCTCTATTTATACGTATTCTTTTGCATTCCTCTTCCTGTCTCTACCTTCCATTTTTGAGACTGGTTGCCAATACATTTGATTTCACTTGCAATTCTTTAAACTTTTGAACAAAAATTGATTCATAGAGCGCAGCTGTATATATATTTTGATAAGATAAAAAAGTATTCGCACGGAATGACAAATGCCACATCATATGATTTCATTATATTATGTATTATGTCTCTTTTGAGTAATATTTTGCCCTGTTAAGAAATGACCGCTCTGAAAAGACACTGGACTTTGAATACGCTCTTACAGATTTTTTTGTCTTTAATCACATTTAATAAAATCCCGAAAAAGTTATTATTGGATAAAATGATAAAATAAACACACAGTAGAAAAAAATCATTTTACCTGTACATCATAACAATAAATACATACACATTATATTAACATGCTTAAGTTCGAAAATTTGAACTTGAGGGAGTTAGAGATCTTGAAATAAATCCTCTTTTTCCTCTGCTACTTCTGCTACGCCTATTTCCAGCTCCAGGAATGAGGACTTTGTGATTACTGAAGGTCACACTAGTACTTCTACCTGCTGTAGACATTCTAATACCTCCAGCTAACCCCACAGAATCGCCTTGTATACGTCCAGAATTTCCAACCACTGTATCACTAATGACACCTAAAGCGTTATCCATGTGTATACCTATTGGAAGAGAGGGATTCTCTCCATCCTGGTAATTAATGAAATAAACTTGAGGGCTCGGAGATGGAATGGAATCAAACTCGATGACCCGCTGTACTCTCTCGTCCACTTTCCTCAAAATATAAACGAGGGTCTTGCGCCTTGGTGGAGGAAGGACGACTGGCTCCGGCGTTGGGGGCTCTTCAGGCACGCGCACGTAAATGTGGTTTTGATTTAGCTTCGGTCGTGGCAGAGCGGGAGGCGGGCCGATGGGTTGATAGGGCTGCTCCGGGGCTTCGAAGAGGTAAAGATTCTTCCTGATAACGCATGTCCCATCTGAATGGATTATCTCCCCTTCTTCACAGCCAACACTGAGTAAGGTTCCGCCACCACTATCTGGAGACAGACCATGCGAAAGTCCATTTACAGCGTATTTTGGTAAGTAATTTCCCTGAGGTGCCGCAGCAACCACAACTGTCATGACGAAAGGAATCTGCAGATAAGGTGGATTAGAGTTTGAGGTAATTTTGAATACACGTTGTATAAGCTCTGAAAACCCATATAACTGTCACATTTGCTCCATAAGGTTTCATAACTCTTAATCATGACGTAAATCGTCACAAAAAGATATTGAAGAACATGATGTGCCCTCTATCAGTAATGTGGCATGTAAAGCAATTCATCGCGGTGTATAAAAAACTACTCTATAAGAAATAAATGTTCGATAATGTTCAAGACTCACAAGGAAATTCATGGTATATAAAGCGGAGGATTGACAACTTACATCAGCTTTTATAGGCTGTGCAGTTCCATGACCTGACTGCTCCGCCCTCTCCTAGTCCTCATCCCGCCTATCTGTCAACTGCTCTTTTCGACTTTGCGTAACCTGGGGTTACTGTAGGAAAAAATAAACACAAAAAGAGTTAAACAGCTGAAAAGGAAAAAATGTGTTCCTAAATTTCCACTGATTCCCCATCTCTCTTGTTACTGTGTTTACTTATGACTGGGCATCTTTAGGAATTAAATTTCGCATATTCATTCAAACATGAACACCCGCACCCACACACACACGCACACAAGACGAGAAAACAAAACATAGAAAAGAAAAAGAACAAAAACTATATGCACACACACACAAACACACTTGTGTGTATATATTTGCATCTGCATCTATATATATATATATATATATATATATATATATATATATATATATATATATATATATATATATATATATATAGTATATGTGTGTGTGTGTGTGTGTATATGAACATATGTACATATATATATAATATATATATATATATATATATATATATATATATATATATATATATATATATATATATATATATATATATAACGTGAAAAGCAGTTTTAATGAGATGGCAATTCACCTATGCTTTTCGGCTAAAGAGGCTTCAGCGTTCCTGTGTAGATAAGCTAAAAGGGAATCGATTTATATTGGAACCCTCGAACCTTTCCTGTCTAATCCCAAAATAGAACATACCCTCCTAAATAACACGGCAATGAATGGCAATGCCTGAAACGCCTCTCGGAGAATCGGACAATGAGATGACTAGGTTTAATTTCATTAACTCGTGCTGCCCCTGACCCCTTAGTCTCAAGTGGCATCGTCATACAATACACTGTTCGTCGTTCATTTACTGATGGCTCTCACTGGTTTAATCACAGGCCACATAAAGCTATCGAAAATCTTCGAGCAACTTAACCCCACCGTTCATCTTTTAATAGA